AAGGGAACCTCCTTCTAGAGGGTGGAAAAGTCCTGACCAGGTCTTCTCTGCAAGACCATCTCCAACAGAAGGAGAGGGAGACAGAAAGTATCTCCACCACCTGAAATTATTTTTCTGTCTAATCAACCATCAATAGGAGAAATGACTGTGCACAGGATTCTTCTCTTACCCTCAATGTCTCACTCATGTGCATCCATGTTGGATGACATCTCATGTTGTTTGCAACTCCCTGGTGAATGCTAGCCCCTATGGCCTGCCTGACATATTGCTAACACCTAATCAGACTCTACTCAGGAAGAAGGTGCACCTATTCCAAGCCATGGTATTTTCAGTTGCCTCTTATGCATGTGAAAGCTGAATGATGATTAAGAAAGAAAGATGAATTGGTGCATTTGAATTATGGTATTGGCAAAGAATATTGAATATACCATGAACTGCGAGAAGAATGAACAAATCTGTCTTGGAAAAAGTCCAGCCAGAATGCTGCTTAGAAGCAACACTAATGAGACTCCATCTCACATACTTTGGACATGTTCTAAGGAGGGACCAGTTCTGGAGAAGGACATCATACTTGGTAAAATGGAGGGTCACTAAAAAAGAGGAAGACTCTCAATGAGCTAGATTGACACAGTGGCTGCAAGAATGAATTCAAACATAGCAATGATTGTGAGGGTGGTGCAGGCAAAGCAGCATTCTGTTGTGTTGTACCTAGGGTCACTATGAATTGGAACTGACTCGACAGCAGCACCTAACAGTACAACAACTCAGCACCAGTGTTTGCTAAAAGCAAAAAGCCAATGAATAAATAAGTCATGAGCACTAGACAGATGGTCACTAGTGTGGCCTCAAACAACTCACATGCCAACATGTCTTCCCAAATATAAAAGAAAATGAGGCATCATGTCTTAGAAGAACAAACTCCATTTACGGTAATAAGCCATTTTTCTTTTAGCCAATACCATAAAATTGTTCTGTAGTTGAAGGGATCCAACTATCCCCAGCTCTTGAAAGAGCTTGTCAGAGTGTAGTCAGATCCTGATTGCTCATCCAAGAGTGAGCGGTTCATCTTTAGGTTCCCTAGGTAGAGAGAAGCTCATCAACAGCACCAGCCTGCTGTTCACTAGTATCCTCTCCATGGACTCCTGCTCTGTTGGCAGTAGATGAAACCCCAGTACCACCCAGGGGTCCTTGGTATCTTGCAGGTTTGGCTGCACCAGGCTGGTGAAGATGGTTTGATTTAGACTTAGAGGGCAGTCCATAATGGTTCTGAGGAGCACATTTTCACCTAAGCATGTTTTGAACATTCTGGAAAATTAGAATGAATGGGCCAAGATGGCATCACTGAGCGTGATGTTGTGCGGTACTTTTCCCAGCATGCCTAGAATGTACTTGACTAATCTCAATGTGATACTTCAAGCCCACTGGGTGTCAGATGAACACTGGGAAACCCAGCAAGGATGAAGAGCAAGCTATTAATCAGGAAGACGTTGTAGGCAGGCCCCTGGCAGAGCTGAGCCATAGTGATGGCACAATGCCATCATTATTCCCTGAGGGGGCCAGTGGGCATTGGAATTACTAATCCCAGGCTAATAGCAACCAGCATTTAAAATGTCCACTAAAGAGACATTTTGCCTTTTCTAAGTGTTTTTTTTCTAAGAAATCATCATAACACTCCAGTGAATTTGGAGAAAAGAGAATTGTTCTGGTTACCTAGTGCTACTCTGACAGGAATGTACCACAAATGGGATGGCTTGAACAAACAGTTTATTCTATTACAGGTTGGAGGCTTTTAATCTGAGTTCAAAGTGCCAGGCTCTAGGGAATGGGTGAAAGCCCCCTAACCTTGGGCTTCAGCTCTGCCTCCTGCTCCCAGCCCTCTGAAGCTACAGGCTTTTCTTCACTCAGACAGGTGCAGGCTGCTGAGACTGGCAAGCCCAAGGTTGACAAGTAAAAAGGCACAGTCCCAATGTTACCAAACCACATAGGAAGGCCATTAATTAAAGCCCATTGGAAGTCCCAAGGTCAGCAGAGTTGCAGGCTCCTGAACAATGACATGGCTACATGCAGAGTTCAAGTTTGCCATAAGCTAGAGATCATTCCCCAAGGGTTCTCCTTATTTACAGGAAGTAGATCACATCATTAAAGCAGCTACTCAGCTGCTCACAGTAGATTCCACCATGGAGTTGATTACCAGTCTTATCATGGGGAATACTACATCCAGCTCCCTAGCCACTCAACCAGGCCCAGCCAAGTTAACACACAAACTGAACCACCACAGGAATAAAGCACTTGACTTCTTTTCAATTGTGTTATTGGAATAAAGTTTGGCTTTACATGCATCTTTCTCTCTTGGGAACTCAGTAAAATCCTACCATTGTGACCATTTGTAAAGGGAGAAAATTTGTCCCTTTCCACCAGGTGATTCTAAGATGGCCTTTTAAGCAGCATCCATGATTTGGAGTGTCTGGCTGTGTGGGTATGGCTGCCCATTCCAGATGGGATGCTTTTGTTTCAGAGCTTTCCTAGGCTATAATGACCTCATGACCTTGAAGTGTGAACAATCCAACCAAGAGTGTCCAAGCTTCCTGCTGAGCACTAACATCTTCTAGGCATCTTTGCATTGCAATGAAGACTCAAGTGCTTCATAAAGAAAGATTGGCGGTGACAGACTTTGGGGAGAAAGATATTCTCTGAGGGAAAAGAGTTTCACAGGGGTCTCTGAGACAAGGAAAAAGACCATTAACCCTGACAATGAGACAACAGCATTGGCTGAATGGCCAACTGTGGTAGAAGGGGCAATAGTAGTAGACCAGTCCTTGCATTACTCAGCAGAAGGGGGACCTTCCCAGCTGTAGCCCTCCCGATGGCACTGCCTGGGACCCCTATCACATTCTCAGTGAATTTGTGCTTAAGGACACCTAGAAGAAACAACAATCAGTGTATGATAAAGTTGTGATCCTTGGATTTTATGACTGGGGTCAACAGATCATAGACATCATGTTAAAAGTCCCTGCTTAAATTCTCCAGATATCTTATTGAGCTTCTACCATTCCATCCCATACTTAGAAGAAAACAAGGATCATATTTAACTGTATATATCCAGCCAGCAACAGAATTTTTGTTAAAGCAGAAACAAAGGGGGTTTGGTGTTTAGATGAGAGTATTCAAATTAATGATGAAGACAATAAAAATAGCATCTTTCATTGTTATTGTTGTCTCCAGCCTTGCTGTCAGTGGGCCAGGACAGGTGTAATTGCCACAGATATGAAGAAACTGAGAGTCAAGAAGGATAAGGATTTGCCTTGGGTCACCCAGCTAGGAAGTGGCAGAGCAAAGATGCAAATGTGCTTCTTCTGCCTCTCGGAGTCACTTGCCTTTCTCAATAGGAGTGGTTCTCAAATTTGAGCATGAAATAGAATCACCTGGAGGGCTTATTAAACCCCAGATCACTAGGCTCCAGCCACAGCCTTTCTGCTTCAGCAGGTCTGGAGTGGGTTCTGAGAATTTGCCTGTCTAGCAAGTTCCCAGGTGATGCTGCTGGTCCAGAGAACTCTTAAGAACCACTGATGTTTACCACATATACTCCCTAATTGAACATTAACACCCTAACTCTTCAGGTTTCACCATGTGGAAAATGTGAAGATCTGTGATGGGCAGCTATTTCCCTTGTGTTTAAAATAAATCCAGTTTGTGGGCAAACTAAGTGAGGAAAAAATACAAAGAAGTCTTCTATCATTAAGCTGTCAGAGTTGAAAGGTGAAGAAATGTCCTCTATAATTTAAATTAGGCATTCTACTATGGAGGAAGGCTGGCGATTCAAACTCACCAGCCACTCCTCGGAAGGAAGGTTGGGAAATCTATTTCCATAGAGATATGGCCTCAGAAACCCAAGGAGGGGTCACTATGAGTAGGATCTGACTCGACAGCAGGACGTTGTGTTTTGTGTACTATGGAGAAAAACGCAAATCTGAGCAATGAATAAGGAAGACTGAAAATGAATTGATGCATTTGAAATATGGTGTTGGGGAAGAATATTGAATATTCCATGGACAGTGTATTAGGCTGGGTTCTCTAGAGAAGCAAAACCAGTAAATCTTATATATACACAGAGAGAGAAATATATCTTAGGAAAATGCACACACACTTATAGAAGCTAGCAAGTCCCAAGTTCCTGGATCAAACGTCAAGCTGCAGGCTTTTCCTGACTCACACAGCTGCAGGGACTGACTAGCTCAAGGTTGGCAGGCAGTATACCAGCTATTGACTCCGACGGATGATGAATCCAAGATCACCAGGCTGAATGGTGTATCGTTCACTCACGGACAGTTGTAGGCAGCACAACAGGATCCAGATCCACTGAATAGTCAGTCTTTTTCCCAGGATGTCTGTAAATACACACACACACACACACACACACAGAGGAAGAAGGCCACACCCCTAGGGAAACTCCCTTTCAGTGGATTGGCTGCCCAAAGTGTATACATCCAATCTCATCATGAGAATAACCATATCACAACTGTTTAGACCACTCAGAATCATGGTCTGGCCAAGTTGACACACAACCCCAACTATCACAGAGAGCCAAAAGAACAAATCTGTCTTGGATGAAGTACAGCCAGAATGTTCCTTAGAAGCGAGAATGGCCAGACTTTGTCTCTCATACTTTAGTCATGTTATCAGGAGGGACCAGACCTTGAAGAAGGAAATCATGCTTGGTAAAGTAACGAGTGAGCCAAAAAGAGGAAGACCCTCAACAAGATGGATTGACACAGTGGTTGTAACAGTGAGCTCCAGCATAACAATTGTGAGGATGGTGCCATGCTAGGCAGTGTTTTGTTCTCTTACATAGGGTCTCTGTGAGTCAGAATTGATTTGATGGCGCCTAACAAAAACAACAACTATGGAAGAAAAAAGTTCAGCAGAAATGACTTTATGGGTACCCATGACAGGGTACAAAGAGGATGGACCCCAGTGACCCCCACATGAATTAGCTGGTCATAGTTTCCCTTCTCAGAGACACTCAAATTTAGAATCCACCATTGCTAGATAGGAACTTGAGGATAGTGGGAGGATTTTGCCTTCCATACGGGACCCCCTGTCCTGTGCCACCTTCATGACTGTTTGTATGCTTGAGTCTGTGGTTATAGCCATTGTGTATTTCAATTGCCTTACAATCTAGGGGCCTTATTTTTCAGCACTATGTTGAGCAGTATTCCGTTATAATCTATAACATTTTCATTGGATGATTTTTAAAAATAGACCATCAAGCTTTTCTTCCTAGTCTGTCTTAGTCTGGAAGGTCTGCTGAAACGTGTCCACCATGGATGACCCCGCTAGTATTTGAAATACCTGTTGCATAGCTTCCAGCCTTATAGCAAGACACAGGCCACAACCATACCGCAAATTAATTCATGGGTGTTGGAGATAGTTACACATAAATATACATACATATCTATTTATGGATTAAACTAAGAAGAATTTGTTAAATGGTGAGCATGGTACCCAGTGGAATAAGAACACAGTAAACCCTGTGTACTTTTTCCTCCCCTCTCATTCTAAACCTTTGTATCCTTTGCTCTTGGGCAGAAGTGCTGTACTGGAGGAGAGAAGAAGGTAGACATAGCACACGGCTGGTCATAGAATAACAAAGAAGACCTTAGCCCTTCCATGTGGTTTGGTAGACCTGGTCTTAGCAACATTTAATTGCAGAATTCCAAAAACTCTTCTCATTCTTAGGCTCTTAGGTCAACAAATGCTTATATTTTAAGGATTTTAGCAGGTGGGAAAAAAAAAAAAACTCATTGATTAAGAACCCACTAACTAGAAGTGTGACACATACTAGACAGCAGCTATGAGGAAGTTCACCACTTGTTTGAAGAACAGGTCAATTACATGAATCAATGACATATAAAGGCAAGAGCTTCATGTACTTGAGAGAAGAATTATGCACAGGCTATTAGAAGCATTTGTTTACCCACAACATTCTAATTACAAATCATTATCTATTAACTAAGACCAATTTCTACGGGATGTTTCCAGGCTGATCCTTAGTTAAATTAATAAGGAATTACTGAATTTCCTAGAAAGTGATCTACAGTGTTTCTTTTAAAAGTATTTTCTAATTCACACCAACCTCATCCTCAATTAGTGCACATTAGCAGAGCTTTGTACATCCCCATGTGTGCTACTTCATCTCACCTACTTTGGTCATGTTGTCAGAAGGGACCATTCCCTGGAGAAGGATGTCATTCTTGGTAAGGTAGAGGGTTGACGAAGGTGGGGAAGGCCTTCAACAAGATGGATTGACACAGTGACTTCTGTGATGGGCTCAAATATAGCAGGGATCACAGAGCTGGTGAGGGACCAGGCGGTGTTTCATTCTTCTGTGCATAGGGTCACTATGAGTTGAAGCCAACTCAATGGCACCTAACAACAACAACAACATGTGTGCTAGCCTTAGGGATTAGCCTCACCCTATGTCTAGAGAGGTTCCATTTACTGCAGGACCAGTTTGCCTAGGAAGGAACTGCAGAGAAATTTGAGTAGGAAGGGTACAGATCGGCCCCCAGAGACAATTGCTATTTGTGAACCTGGGAACACTTTTTGCTATCCTAAGGCTAAGCAGAGAGAACTAATTCTTGACTTCATGTGCCCTGAAGTCTCCTGTGATCAGTTTAACCCTTCAAGGCTCCTTACATCAGACTGTAACCATCAGAGGATCAGAATGGAAATAGGGAGCATTGAGCTTGGCTTGGAGACACCAGACCATTCTGAAGACCCCTTCCCCGCAATCAAAGATTTTATAATCACAGTGTCCTTGAGTTCAATCCCTAATTGATCCAAGTTGACAAAGACGTTTCTTTTCCAGAGTGTAAAATGTTTTGTGTGAACTCTCTTATTAGGTGCTTCTTTATGTATCTACCTAGGACTCCAGTACCTTGTGACTTAAGTAGGTGTGATGGAATGACCCTACTACCGGGAAACAGATCAGACACATATTGACCACAGTCCTCTGCCATGGCAGGGCGATGCCTGCCTGATCATTGGGCTTTGTTTATCTTCATTATCTCTTTCTCTGAGATTGCAGTCCCTATGAGTAATACTGACAATGCAGGGAAAATGCATAAATGGCTGGACTCCCTAGCTTCTAGTCTACTCCTCTTTAGTCAAGAAAGGTTATTTAGAATGACAATGGGTAGACCCAGGATCCAGTTTTAGAAGGGAAAGCCAAAGGTCAATTGGCAATATTTGGAGAAGTACCATAGTGGTGAATGCATGGGTGACATATGGGGCAGCCTTGTCTTCTTGGGAGGGAAGATTAGTACCTTGACAATGAAGGAGGTTGGGTCCAGGGGATGCTAATTAACCAGCATGGCTCTTCTTCCCTGTGTAGGTTTCTGCACAACCGGTCCCACAGGAGCCCAGCAGAAAAGATTACGAGACCTACCAGCCCTTTCAGAATTCCACGAGAAATTATGATGAGTCCTTCTTTGAGGACCAGGTCCACCATCGCCCTCCCGCCAGCGAGTACACCATGCACCTGGGACTTAAATCCACCGGAAACTACGTTGACTTCTACTCAGCTGCCCGTCCCTACAGTGAACTGAACTATGAAACGAGCCACTACCCGGCCTCCCCCGACTCCTGGGTGTGAGCAAAGAGGGGCAAGTGGGATGAGGCGTTCCGGGAGCCGTGCATGTGCATGCATATCACGAGACATTTCTTTTTTCCCTGCAAATTTAGTTTGTCAAAGCCTGTTCCATAGGAAGGCTGTGATAACCAGTATGGCAATCTTATGAGCTATTGTAGAGCGCGAAATACATTGAAAGTTAACTCGGGAGTCGATAGAGAGCAAAAACAATCCTAAAACATGACCATGTTCAGCAACGTTCTAGTTTGAGCTGTAGAAAATAAAAAGTGCTTTATATTGGTTGTGGAGGAAGGAGGGAGAGAGGAGACAGTGGTGGTGGTGGGCCGTGAAGGTTATCGTTAAGCACAAGACACAGAATAGTTTACACACTTTATGGGGGACGGCTTCTCACACTTTGTTCAATCTCTTCATCCGTTGTGACTCTAGGCTTCAAGTTGCATTGAGGTTCCTCTGTACAGCAAGATGTTTCCTGCCTTTTGTTAATGCATTGTTGTAAAGTATTTGATGTACATTACAGATTAAAAGAGAAAAGTGCATTGTGTATATTACACCAATGCAACTGTGTTTCCTCATCTATGGTTCTAAATATTGCTTCAATTTCAAACTTTTGAAAGATGTATGGATTTCCAGTTTTCCTTTTCTTTGCTTTTCTTTCTCCCAGTATGTTTTAACACACACACATTAAAAAAAAAAAAGGGGAAAAAAAAGGAATATTTAGCAGTATTGTTCGTTCTGATATGTGAATTTGTTTGTGGCAACTAAACAAGGCATTCAGCAGTTTCTGACAATTAACATACATCATTCCACACTCCTTGTCAACAAAGTGCTTTTTCACTGCCTAAAATTTTAGATGTAGATATTTGAAATAGATTTTTTCATTTATACCAGTTTTCTTTATGATGATCCAGTGTTAAAAGAAAATAAATTACAATTGATCTGTCATCCGTATTTGCTAAGAATGTCTATTTCCAAGGATCTCTCTGACAAAATACACATTCTTGCTTGTGTGTCTGTGCATGTGTGAGTGTGTGGATGTCCACGTATGTATAAAAATAACCTGTATGAGATTTTTTTTCACACAAGCAATTTCCTTTACTGTCCATCTTGTACAAACATTGTTTTCGTTTTTCAGTATAAATGTACATCAGCTTGTTCCTTTTGTACTGTATCTACTCTTCTGAACATCTAGTGACTCAGGATATTAGGCCAGTTGAGGTGAAGTTATAGAATTTTCACACATTCACCCATTCTTCAGTACCAACCCTATCCACGGGGCCATTTCCTTCCACGTTTTATGCCCTCAGAACATGCTAAACCACGGCCAAATCAATCATTTCACTTTGGGGGCAATACTTGAAGTATCCACAGAAAATACCAACTGCTCGCCTTAGCCCCCCTACCCCCCCAAATTTTTTTTTTTGTTCGTGTGACAGAGCAGTTGACAATAATGGATTAGATTATTAAAACTGAACTTGAAGCTAATGGTAGAATAGTGGTTCACAGAGCTGAGAAATAAGGCTAACCGTTTTAAAGAATACGGGCGGGGGGTAAATTAGCTTTGCTCTTTAGATGCAAGTGACTGAGGCCAATAGGTGCCTAGTAAATGTTAACTGTTCTTGGAAAAAAAATAAAAAGTTACATAACAAAAGAAATTGGCTGCCATCTTCCTTTAAAACTTGCTCCCCTTCTCTGTATAGTTTAATTCAGCTCAAACTCTAAATTCAGTGGTTCTTTTTCCAAATTTAACAACAACCAAAAGCCATGCAAAGTTTGGAAGGGAGAAGCTTATTAACCTCCAGAACATAGCAATAGACAGAAATTTACATATGGACTTTCCTAGAAATTCCATACAGGTTTGACCTTTTTGTGTCATTTAGTGTAGGACGCCATATTTCTGAATTCTTTTGTGGGCATGCTGCCATACAGCCCCTCTCCAGTCCCTATGTTGTTGTTATGTGCCATCGATCGGACCCGACTTATAGTGACCCCTCCTTGGGTTGCCGAGGCAGTATCACTACGGAAGTAGATTGCCCCACCTTCCTTCCGAGGAGTGGCTGGTGGGTTTGAACTGCCAGCCTTCTGGTTAGCAGTCAAGTGCCTTAGGCACTATGCTACCAGAGCTCCCTCCAGTCCCCATAGAGAGACAAATATGGAAGATCAAGGGAAGTGTTTACACTTCATCAGTAACATAGAATGTGGTTAACTTCATTGAGACAAAAATGTTGGTGTCCACATGAATTTCCCACAACCTAATGGCATAGCTGGTTTAACCTTTCCAAATGGGAGCAGCAGGAGTCATTCCATGGTCTGAGCTGTGCAAGGGAAATTACCACATGCTCCAAAAAAGCACATCTTGCTATGATTTTGAGTCTCAATGTGCACCCTAAATTTGTACCACTTGGAGGCCAAGGGGGTCTTTGCTGCCATAGTTCTTTGAAAGCACAACATGCCAGGCTGTGATGAGCTCTTTCAGCTGGGAGTTTCCGGCATCAGAGGTTGAGGTAGCAAAAAGAAAATGAAATGTGTTCACATTATGCAAACCCATCCTTTTCCTCTGAATTATATTTAGGAAGAAAAAATGGTTTCCTTTGTTATTAAGATAAATAGGGGATGCATGGATGGATGGTTGGATGGATGGATGGATGGATGGAAAGAAGGTAGGTAAGGTAGATGACACATGATACAAGGAGATAGACCGAGGAAAGGTAGGTAGGTAGGTAAATACATAGATAGGTGATAGATAGGATTTTAGTTGAACTGACATGGCCTGATAGCCTCATTGGATTTCTGGGCAATGAATGTTGGTAACTGGTAATTGCTTATTGAGAAATGGGATGTAGTAGATGAAAGCACCAAGTGGCAAGAAGTTTTGCTTTCATTGTGTTGAAGTGCCCCATGGACTGCTTTGTGGGTTCACAGAAGCCTCCAGACCCTTGATGGTCCCATTGAGATGGGATGGGGTTTTTCAGAGCAAAAGAAAATTGAAATTTCTTGTTCCATTCAGTCCCTGTGGTGGATCCTAAATACATCCAAAGCATTTAATTAGAGGTAAAATCTAAGTGTTTTGTAAAAAAAAAAAAAAAAAAAAAGACTGTTAAACAACAGAGTGTTGTGTATAAGAGACTGATGAAGGAACACTTCAACTGTACCACTAAAATAAAAGTTTAAAATATGACCTGTTAATAATGATAAATGTTAATACCACACATTAATGCTTTAATTCTCATTAACAATCATGTAAAATAAAATACCACATACAATAAAAAACCACACAAATTATAAAACAAAACTGACATGAGAAATTATACTTGGCACTAACCTAGGTGAAGGTTAACCCATGATGGCCCATTCCATATTAATAAAATTCACACATAGTCGAGCTGCAAAAAGAAAGAAATTCATGTTTCCCTTATTTCAGTACTGCTTGACTGTCTGAAACTGTCTCTCTTATCCCTGAGAGCTGTGCCCCTGAGAAGTGAGGTCAGGCTGTTGAAAGACACTCAGCATTTTCAGCCTCCTAGGAAAGGAAGAAATGAAAATCTGAGAATGTGCTGTATATAAACAGTTCCCTCCACACTGCCCAGGTCTCTCCCCAACCAAATATGAAAGCCTGGACAGCTTAGCTCATCTCTACCTCAGACAGCAGAGGGAGAGAGAGGTTGTGGCAGCCAGTTAATGGGGACCTAACCTCACCAGCCAGTCCTTTATCTCAAGACCAGGAGGTTCACTCTGGGACCCCTGTAAGACAGGGTGAAAAAAATAAATGAAAAATCAGGGGGTCGCTCTGTGTGTGTCTTAGAGATCGTCACCTCATATACCAGTGCCTGCTGAAACCAATAAGGATTCTACTGAGAGGTTCCCTGTTGGGCACGGCTGCTCTCCAAGGCACATGGTCAGGACAACACTAGCACTAAAACACATGCTGACCCACCATGTAAAAAAGACCAACATGATCTCCTTCAGCCTGAGCCTCAGCGCACCATCTCTTACCCATAATTCTGACATCTAAAACCTCTAAAGACCAAAAGATGTTACATAACTCACTTGATGACCAAACCTGACCTGAACTGACATGACTGTCAGTCGTCTCTGTCACACATACTGTGATAGCTCTGATGACTCAGACTGAGTGTGTTTGGTTACCAGGTGATACCCATACTCTGTTGGGGTGTTAAGGAATTAGTGGAGCACACTCTATTGCTGTTGTTGTCAGGTGCCGTCAAGTTGCTTCTAACTCATAGCAGCCCTATGTACAACAAAACAAAACACTGCCTGGTTGTGCAACATCCTCAAATTGTTGTTGTGTTTGAGTTCATGGTTGCAGTCACTATGAAAATCCATCTCATTGAAGGTCTTCCTCATTTTTGCTGATGCTCTTATTTACATGATGTCCTCCACCAGGGACTAGTCCTTGGTGATAACATGTCCAAAGTACATGAGACAAAGTCTCACCTTCATTGCTTCTAAGGAGCATTTTGGCTGTACTTCTTCCAAGACAGATTTGTTTGTTCTTCTGGAGGTTCATGGTGTATTCAATATTCTTCAACACCATAATTCAAATGCAGCAATTCTTCATTCTTTCTTATTCATTGTTCAGCTTTCGCATGCATATAATGTGATTGAAAATACCACGGATTGGGTCAGGTGCACCTTAGTCCTTGCTTTTAAACACTTTAAAGGGGTCTTTTCCAGCAGATATGCCCAGGGCAATACGCTGTTTGATTTCTTGACTGCCGCTTCCATGAGCATTGATTATGCATCAAAGTAAAATGAAATCCCTGACCACCTCAATCTTTTCTGCATTTATCAAGGTATTGCTAATTGGTCCAGTTGTGAGGCTTTTTGTTTTCTTTATGTTGGAATCTAATCCATACGAAGACTGGAGTCTTTGATCTTCAACAGTAAGTCTTCAAGTCTTCTTCACTTTCAGCAAGCAAGGTTGTGTCATCTGCATATTACAGATTGTGAATGAGCCTTCCTCCAATCCATGTTCTTCTTCATATGGTCCAGCTTCTTGGATTATTTGTTCAGCATAGACTGAGTAAGTATGTTGAAAGGATATAACCCTGATGCACACCTTTCCGGATTTTAAACCATGCAGTATATCCTTGTTATCTCTTTATTTTGTCCAAATGACAGCCTTTTGGTCTATGTATGCCTGCATTACTTTCTAAGATCTGGAAATTTCTGAGCACAGTTTGCCCCAAGAGTATCAAACAAGGAAAAAACGAAGCACTGTTCATGCACAGAGGTATTGGTGGCTCAGTAGGAGAATTCTCACCTCCCATGTGGGCTTGATTCCTGGCCAATGTAGCTCATGTGCAGCCAACACTCGTCTGTCAGTAGTGGTTTGCGTGTTGCTATGAGGATGGAGGGTCAGCAAAGAAGTGATTGAAAACACCTCAACAAGATGGGTTGATGCAGTGGCTGCAACAATGGGCTCAGGTACAGCAATTATTGTGAGGCTGGCACAGGACCAGGCAGTGTTTCATTCTGTTGTACATAGGGTCACTATGAGTCAAAACCAACTTGATGGCACCTGACAACAACAATATGATGCTGAAAAGATTTCAGTGGGGCTTCCAGACTAAGACAAGCTAGGAAGAAAAGCCTGACAATCTATTTCTGAAAAGTAGTTAATGAAAACCCAATGGCACCAGGACAAAGCAGC